TGGCTCTCGGGTCCGATTCCATGATGGATTGGATATCACATCCCAACGTCCCCGCGCCACCTGGGCTAGACCGTTAAAGACGTCGGAAAACGGACGCCCACTGTCTTGTGATGGCCGTTTGCGAACTAGCACTCCATCCTGGCACATTGAGATGATGAGTCGCGTCGTGATGGAGGGTGAGGTCCGAATGTGATCGGGCTCGCTGGATTGGTGATGAAATGAGAGACTAGGGGGGGTTGCAAGCTGGCTTGAGATGGCGTCTGGATAGGAGCGGCGCCGTCTTGGAAAGTGCCAACGTAAATGAAGCGTGAATAGTGCAGACACGGCATTTCGAGATCAACTTGGGAGTCAAACGGCACTGCTGGTACGGCCGGCTCGTGGCCGCAGATCAAACTCTGCCACCACTGCTGGTCGCAGATCGCTGCACGAGGCGATTAGCGTGTTTGCGAGAGGGAAACAATCGCAAGCAAGGCTTCGGGATTCGGAGCCTGTCAAGATCAGTGAGGGGGTTCGGACGAGCTGACGAGATGATGAATCTCCATGCCAACCGGGGCCATCAGGAGGTGAGGGGAAGCTGAAGAAGGGGCATGACAACCTGCAGGCGGAAAAGTGACCGAGTTTCCATAATTAGCCCAAACCGATAAGGATTTTGGCAGCTGTCGAGATCAATTTAGGCCGATGTCGCGCAGGGAATGTGGGCAAAATTAAAAATAGATGTTGGGATGTGATCAGATGTGATGGAACATGTTAGCGCTCGGGTGGTGTTGTGCATACCCGGGCAAACATGCTTAAGCGCCGGCCATGCGGGCTACATTTTGACAAGGAATTTAGCCCAAAATTGGAAGCTAAGAAGGGGGCTAAATGATCTAGTGAGTGATGGACAGAAGTCTCCGGCGATGGTGTCATGAGGATAACGGCAATTATAATCATGGTGGCTCTTTTCTGAGCCCTTGTCAGGGATCAGGGGTGACATGGCGCGGGCATGAGAGAAGGCGATGAATAACGGAGGCGGCCGGTAGTGTTTTTTTTCTCGTTCTTTGCAGCGGGGGCTCAATGACTCGCATTGGCGGGGAGCTATGAAAGGTTTGACTAGGCCGGACTTGGGAGACGGGCTTGAAGCTCGGGATGGCATCCGTGAAGCTATTGACCTCGAGATGGACTGCTCTGGCACGATAGATGCTGTAGGTTTGCAGGAGGCGGTCGAGATGGTCTCATAGCGGAAAGGATATATGTCAGACGGGTCGGTCCTTTTGGCATAGGCTTTGGGAGAAAACAAGGGTGAATAGTAGGATAGGCATGCATCCTGGCAAGTAGGTTTGCAAACTACGTAGGTATGAGTAGTTGCGAGCCAACTTGACATGGATGTCGGAGCAAAGGGACTTTGAAGGTCGAGATTCACAGTCGACGGCAGATAGGCTACGCTGTTGGTTGTTGGCTGCAAGTGTGCCGTCTGGCTTTTACCTTCAATGGGCTTGGCTTATCTATTTTTCCTGATGGTGTAGGAGAGAAACGTGCCTCGGGCCAGTAGTAAGGCCGGCCTGGACGGGGAATTTTGAGGGGGGATGATGGATCTGGCGGTTGGACAAACCATGATCGACTGTGGCACAGCCTCCTCCGCAAACCACGAGCAACGGGCATATGAAGATCTCATCTTGGAAAAAAAACAAAAACAATACAAGGCAACGGTGGCAGCCTCGACTACAGCCTCGGCGCCTTTCAGCTACTAACAATAACAACAAGACCAACGCCAACGGCAACCCCATCGACGCCATCGAGAAGCCTCGTCTTGCCTTGTCTTGCCTGCCTTTCCGCTCCATGCCCCCGACACCCGTCATCGCCCGCCCGTCACATCGCCCGCTCACTGCATCGTCGAGTCTGTAAGGCCCCCCGCCCATCCTGCCAGGGGTCCTGTAGGTCCAGAAACGTGCCCTCTGTGTGCGGCTGGCGAACCAGGACGGCCCTGGAAAGGCCCTAGAACAAGGACCCCAGAGATAGTCGTGCTGTGCAACATGATTGGTTAAAGCTCCCCTACATCCCTGTCAAGCCACCTGCGGCTCGCGCTGAAGAAACAGACCAATCTTGATCGCTGGCCGGGGTGAACAAGCAAGCGCCCCAGAAGACGCTAAGCCTATTGTGTCTGAGCGTGCCCGCCAACCCCTGCCCCGCGGCAGGCGCTACGCATCGGTTGGTCCCGCGGGCCCCGCTCCTGCTGCACGAGCCAACGTTTCGTCACACCTCATCTGTCGAATCACGGGCCAGAAGACGTCTTTTTCCAACGACACTACATGGCTCGGGGCCTGTTCAGCAGACCGACCTTTGCCCACGAAGAGGCAAGCAGAATTACACCTGGCCTGGCTGGCGCCAGAGGTGCGCACGAACCCTACCGCCACGGCCGGTCTTTTTTTCCTTTCCACTGCCTTTTTGCACTGCGAAAAGTCCGTCCCCCGTATGGGACCTCGCTCCCCGCTGCGGCTCACAGCACATTGCCGCGTACCGCATACCTAACTAGGTCTGTCTGCGTGCAAAGCTTCCGTCGTGTAGTGGTGGTAGCGTCGTCCATGTGTCCTGTCGTCTTACGCCAGTTTCCTTGGTTGATGATGCTGCTCACTCCAACGGAACCATGTTGATGACCTCTTACCCTGTCTGCCACTGCTCACTCTGAGCTCACTGCTTGATTCCTTACCCTGTTCCATCTAATGGACCCTTCAGATGCAAAAAGCTCGTGACTTGGAAAGAACGGAATATCAGGCCCTATCCGTGGTCCACCTCAACCACCCCCGCGCCGCGGCTCGCCGAGAAGACGTCACCGTCTACCACCCCGGCCCCTAGTCCAGTCCACGACGCATGTACCACTAGCGATTCCCGCATACATTTGCAAAGAGAGAATTGGTGTTGAGGAATTTGATACGCCATTTCCGGGGCTTCTCGACTCGGCTGCGGGCATCCGCTTGCAGGTCTTCCAGCCACGGGGCCTCGCTGTTGACCAATCTGATGCCTGACCGCCTCTCTCGGGACTGTCATGCCCCCGTCTGGCCGTCTGTTGGGGCCCTTTGAGAGAAACAGACATACAATTCATTGTCTGCTGTGCCCAGAGCAGACAGCGCCCCTGCCGCAATTCTCCCGAGTACGTTCTAGCCGGCCGTGGACCTCTGTCGCACGACTTGCGAGAGGCCCAGCGTGAACTGTGACTCGCAAACCGTGAATTGCTCAAACGGCACATGGCTGCACTAGGGCGACCGTTTAATGAGTGCAATTCAATCACGATCGAATAGACTTTTCCGGCCGGCACAGTACATCAGCTCTGCCTGCTTAGCATGGGACGGCCCTGCGATGGGCCATGAGGATAGAAGCTAGCGGACAGTCTGATCAAGCACCCTTGTGCGACCTTTTCGTCCTTTACCCCTTCCGATGGACCTCCGCATCTGCAGATGCAGGAGCCGGATGAGCACCTCGCTGTCTGTCTGCGTCGACAGCTAGCCCACGACACGGTTGGGTGTTGCTGCCGCATGATCCAGCCAAGGTGGTTCAAGTTGTCGCCCGATTGAAGCATTCCCACGCCATCCATCCACCACGTCGAGATACAGATCTCCTGCAAGGAACTCGGTACACGTTTGTTTTGTGTTTCCTACCGAAATGTCGGCTCTCGAGCAGTGATTAAACACAAACAATGGCATGGTTCAGAACCGGAAGCTCAACCGCCTTACAGGGCAGTTCTTGGGACGGGGGAGGGGAGGTGGAGGGCCTCAAAAGATAGAGTCAAAGCTCGCCGCCTCGCATATCCTCCCGTGAGGAGCTAGATCCGAAAAGGATCCAGCTAGCCAGCCTCCCCCCTCTCTCTGAGCTCTGGATGCAAGCAGAGTGGCTGCGTGGTATCCCCACGGACTGTCCAGATGGGCACACCATGCGCGACTTTCCCCTTTGGATGAGGCACCCCTGCCCGTCGTCTCCAATTCTTCGCGCTCATCTATTCCTAGAGTGGAGATTCGATGGGCACTTGTTCTTGCAGAGCGACCGTCTTTGCCGGCCCATCCTCATTGGCTTCTCTAAGCGCAGTCGCTGTCTCTCGTGCCATGGCATGCCTCGTCGTGCATGATGCAAAAATAGCAACACACGGTCGATTCGATGAATGGAAAGCCATGATCGAATCGCTCTTGGATGGGCCGCGAGAGAGGCGGCCAAAATATAAGGATTTAGCCCTCCAGCAGCCGCCGATAATTTTGCCCTCTTTCTTCCTCGTTGTGTTGTGTTTTTTTGTGTGTTCAAGGCGAGAAGATCCCAAGTGTCGACAGAGGTTTCCCTCTCCTCTAACCGCCCTCCTCCAAATCCTCCTCCCACTCTCCCGAAATCATTCTTACGAATATCCAGTGAAGGGCAAGCTGGACTTGCTTGGAACCAGTCACTCCTTGCGACCAAACGGTTTATTATTTGGCAATATAATCGAAGCGGACGAAACGAACGAAGCGAAACGAAGCGAAAGCGTATTGGAAGAGAGAATCGTGATATTGATGCAAAGGGGCCTGGCTGCCACTTACACACGGTTCTACACAATTCGCTCAGATCTTATCGATTCTGATCGAAACAATAACGCTAATTTAATTGCACTCGTTGGACCGGAGTATTGTCAACTCCGACTCGACAGTCACATCCCTGGTCAGTCAGTCTTCTCTTTTCTTCAAGGCCCAACCTTTTACTCTACTGGACCCTCAGCGGCCCAGCCAGCCATGGAGCCTGGGTAGTCCAGCCCAGCCCTCAACGACAATCAGTCTAGGGGCCCTGGGTACCCTTCCCATCCATATCCCGCCCGTGATCGACTCCACCCTACGGTACCGTGCGTGGTGGCTAACTGGACACAGTACCACGCCCCCCTGGCCTGGCACACCCCCTCCTCCCGGGCCCCAGCACGCCAATACTGTCCGGACCAGCATCGCAGGCTACAAATGTCTACGCTGCCCCCCGACCATCGCAAAGGCGCGCCGCGAGCAGCTGGAAACACAGTCAACATGGCTGTAACTCAGTCTTCCAAGGCCAAGCCGGCCTCAAAAGCCAGCAATGGCAAGCCCAGAACAAAGACGCAGATGCATCGCCGTTCAAGAACAGGTTAGTTTGTTGCGCCCACTTACACGGTTGGGGAGATTGGGGGAACTCATGAGCGTCCTCATGAGCGCCCTCGGCTTCACTCTGAAGACGTAAGACTGACCATACAACCACAGGCTGCTACACATGCAGACTGCGACGCAAGAAGTGCGACGAGGGCTCGCCCATGTGCACCGCCTGCAAGCACCTGGGTTTGCAGTGCGAGTATAAGCGACCCATGTGGTGGAGCAACAATGATATGCGACGCAAGCACAAGGACGACATCAAGATGATCATTAAGCGCAAGAAGCTTTCTGAAAAGTCGTCGCACAACATGCAAAACTCGGTCTCCAGCTCACCTCCAGGCCTCACCCGATCTCTGCCCACGTCCTCCTCCTTCACTGACACCCTCGACCGCACAAGGTCGGCCTCGATTGACTCGCACTTTTCCACTGCCTTCAACTTCAACAGCCCTCCCAGTGGCAACGAGTATGGCTTTGGTGCTCCCATGCACCCCGAGCTCATGTTCGGCAGCTACTCACCCTATGAGATCGACGTCAAGACTGAGCGCCAGATGTTTGTCAACGATGTGCCCACTCTTCGCGAGTCGCACATCTCCACCTTTAGCACATTTCAGACTCCTCCTCCCGCCGGCACAGTTCTGCCTCCAGGCCCTCTCGATAGTGAGTGGACTGAGCAGATCCGCAAGGAGTCGCTCTCTGAGGAGACGTTGAACTGCAACTTCTTCGACTTCTCACATGGCCCCTCGGCCGAGACCAGACAGGTCCAGATTGAGCTTGAGGAGAATGACCAGCGCCTGCTGGATCACTTCATCCAGTTTGTTCTGCCAACAATCTTTCCCATCCTCGAGTCGAATCAACATGGCTCGGTCGGCTCTGACCTGATTCTCCCCGCCCTTCAATCCAACAGCGCCTATTTGCACTGCTGCCTCAGCGTCGCCGCCCAGCACCGCAAGTCACACGCCAATGTCGCCGGCGAGGACATTGACGGTGATATTATGCGCCACCGCTACGCTACCATCTGGGCCCTCTGTGAGGCTCTGAAGAAGGATGAGAACCACCAGCAAATCCTTGAAGCCACCCTTGGCCTCATCTTCTTCCAGTCCGTGGTCGGTCGATATGACGATGGCCTGCTCGACATCCCCTGGCACCAACACTTCCAGGCCGCCATCAGCCTTGTGCAGAAGCTCGACCTCCCCGGCATCGTTGCCGACCCCACTCGGGCCTCGATGCAGACTCCCTTCAACATGTCACTCACCTCTTGGATTGACATCCTTGGCGCCACCATGAAGGGACGATCACCAACCTTTGCCCATACCTACCGTGAGAAGCACCTTTCTCAGGTCAACCCCAGTCTTGGCCTGCGAGAACTCATGGGCTGCGACGATCGGGTCATGTACCTCATCTCAGAGATTGCCTGCCTCGAGTCCCTCAAGAAGGACGGCATGGATGACTTTACTCTCTGCCAACACGTCTCAGCTCTTGGTGAGCAGATCAGCTTGACTGAGATGGGCGATGCAGGCCCCAAGATGCCCTTCAATGCCAATGGCAGCCTTTCACCTAAGCAGCTGTCCAAGAACATGACAATGGCTTTCCGCATTGCTGCGCGCATCTTCCTTTGCAGCCTGGTCCCCGGCTTCAACCCCAATCAGCCCTCTCCCATGGGCCTGGTTGAGAAGCTGACCTCGGTGCTTCAGCACATCCCCTCTGGCCCCAACGGGTTTGACCGCAACCTTGCCTGGGTCTACCTGATTGGCGGCTCCATCAGCGTCCCTGGCAGCACATTCCGGGCCTTCTTTGAGGACCGGCTTGCTCAGCTGGGTGACCTGGCCAAGTTTGGGTCGATGGGTCGCGTGGCGACTCTTCTGCACGAGGTCTGGCTGCAGAATGATAACCTCTCGGGTGCTAGCTCACCCGGGTCTTCGGCGTCTGAGATGACCCAACCGCACATCCACTGGCGGGATGTCATGGAGATGAAGGGATGGGACTTCTTGTTGATCTGAGCCTCACCCCAGCACCGCTTCTACAGAGCCTTCAACAGCTGGCCTTTGAAGGGTAGTGGGCGCGAGCATGCTGGTTGAGGCCCCATGGGTCATCCCAGCAACAAGTTGTACCCTCACCTTCTTTTCCATGAGGGCGGCGTAGGTCCGTCTCACAAGGCGATGCAGGCATTTGCTAGCCGCCGAGGACCGGGATTGGGAGCTTCTGCTCCCATGTCCTTTATGAGGCATTATCATTCGCTTCTTATCTCTCCTGGCCCTTTCTGGGGTTTCAAGAGGGGGCATTTCCTATTATACTTTCTTTTTTTACACTATGTTCTTCATTTACAATGATACCTACTGGGATGGGACCTTTATAGAGGAAGCCGCAAGGCGTTTTGGGCTGGAATTAAGCCTTCAGAGAAGAGCTCGACACTTGGAGACACGCACACCACTTCTCGACACACACACACTTTGGGATACAATGGGGCTGGGGAAGCAAAGAAGCATGGCATTGTGGAGGTTGCATGACGGAGGTTGTGGACGATTGGCTGGAGTGAAGCATGAGGGTGGCAGAGAGTCACGACCATATGCAGGAACAATGGGACGACGATAGGACGGATACGACAATGGATGTTGAGGAATGGGTTTCTTTCTTTGGATTGGGTTGGATTGGGACGAGTACCGCAAGACTCGGGATCGTTCGCTTTTTTTCATATTCGTCATCATCATCATTTCATGGTCATGGTCATCTATATACCAAGCGGGCAATGGTACAGGGGAGGACATGGAAAACGGCGCAGGGCAGGTTTCTGGCATTGGCATTAGGCATTAGGTGGGATTGGGGGGGGGGGGGGGGGGGGGGCAGGGAAGGATGATGATGATACTGTATGTATGAGATGGAATTTTTTTTGAAGCTCTGGGTAGCTCGGATATGGGCTAGCTCCCAGACTGGGGAAGTAGATGAGAAAGAAAGAAAGAAAGAAAGAAATCATGTGTAATGACAGAGTACAAGGATTACAGCTGGCTTGACATTGACAGACAAGATGTGGCTGGCTGACTACCTGGACAAAGACACAAACTCTTGCATTGGACACACGCCTCTCTCCAGTTATGATGCTACCTTGGATTGTTTCGGCATCTTTTTTGAAAGAAACGGAAATCAGATGAGATCAGATGAGGCGAGAAGACATGCTCGATTGCAAGGTCGCCAAATGGGCCCAAAACGGGGACAAGGCCCGAGATGGCGAGAGGTTGTAGAGCTGAGCTGCCAGGATGAGTTTAAATGCCTCTCTCTCTCTTTCTCTTTACAGTGTTTGATCCGCTGCTGGTACAGAGTTGGATTTCAGCAGGCATGAACCCCTAGTCCCTGCAAGCTGTTGAAAGATGGCGGGTAAGCAGCATCACACCACACTCACTCTTTACAAGGTTACTACTACTACCTACATAGAAGGATGGAAGCTATGAAAGAGGGTAGAGATCGGGTTAGGGTATCATCGACTGTGGATGACCTCTTTTTTGGAGACCCTGGGATGGATGCACTGCGTGGCCTGACGAGAGTGGAAGATTAGATTAGCAGGAATAGCCTTGTACCCCTGGGGGAAGGGAATGCGATGCGATGTAATGCAAATGCGGGTGCACAATGCAATGGTGTTTTTCTGTGTTTAGTATTCCGGGGGAAGAGAAGCCGTGAGGGTTATGTAGTCATGACATGATGATACCTAACAATAACTATTTTATGCTGCAGTGAAGCCATCCCATATGTAAATGCAATGTAATGTAATGCAGAGCTAGAGGATTCCCCTCCTGGCCTTGTCCTTCCCGCCCGCCCCCGGACGGGCCCGTTTGGCTCGTCTAGCTTGCAGCAGAGGGCAGGCCAGAGTCAGAGGGACCAGCACAGCAGCGCATTAGAGCCTGCGTTGAATCTAAGGTACGGGGAAGCGAAGGCTACAGTTTGTGAGTTGCCCTGTGTTTCCCCAGTCGTGACATGGCAATCGAAAAAGAACACCACGTATGTTTGGGTCTAGCACGGGCCTCCGAATACGGTATTTTTGTGAGTCGAATGATTCAGACAGTGCGTAGAGGAAGAGCAATTGACTCGTCTACGATGGGTGTGTGAGGTGTTCTCCGCGGATAGAGAGACAGAATCTAGATTTGTGTGGGTGTGAGAGAATGAGGGACCTTTTGGCGAGAGAAACCCAAGATTTCCAGACCGAGAACGAGATGGATGATCGGGTAGAAAATTTAGAGACAGGGGGATTGGGATGAATGACAGGGCCAAGAAGGGCATGGTAGAAAGACAAGGGTTCTCCGGTGGCGACCGTTGAAGGACAAAGAGACAAGAGACAACAATAGATAGATAGTCAGTATCACCTGAAGCTTCTTTGTCTGTTTCAACATGTGAACAAGATCTCGCATCAACACCATCATCTGGAACTATCGTCTCGTATCAGGTGTAAAGAAAAAAAAAGCACTCACTCACCAGTGGCCAACTCACAAGCCCTTATCTCTGCCGATTCACGCATTCGATTGCACGACCCAAGGTAAGAAACCGAAAGAGAGGCAGCCCATCAAACGGACGACGACGACCTAAATAACCTGCTTTTTTTTTCTTCTCTTCTTGCCCAGTCCTCGTGGTTTATTTTTGGCCCTGCTGAAACCAACGGGCCGCCTCTGAGAGAGGCCATCACCAGATCTCTATTGGGTTTTGCAGGGCTCTTGCTAAGCGCTGTACATACGGCGCTTCGGTTCATGCCTGAGATGAGTGTCAAATCTCATAGGCTCTCGTTACAAGGGCCTTCCCACGGGCCAGGCCTTTTTACTGGCCTTTAGGCGCTAAACCTCAGGGTTTGCTTGTGGGGTGAGGATCCAATCAGAGGCGTTTTTTATGGCCGCGCGGCTATTTTCTGAGACGCAGCCAACCAAGACCATCACCACTCGTCCTTCGCGACTTGTAAACCACCCCACGGTCTCAACACCAAGAAGATCCAGACCCAGAATGTTCTGAGCTGGAAACCAACCCCATCTCTGGCGCCCTTGTCAAGTGACAGGGGCATACGACACCAACCGACTGGCTCCCCCGGTTGCCCGATCGAAAACCTTGGGTTCCATGTATAGATCTTGGGAAACGGATAGGCTGTGGAGAAAGCATGACTCTTTTTTTTCGGCAACCATTGGGCGGTAAAAAAGTATGCCGACTGAACAGATGAGTTTTACGATGGAAGCCTGGGGGCCTGTTGTTTCCGTGGACCACGATGGGCTCGGATTCCGTCTTTGTCGTATGTCTTTGGGTCTTTTTCCACCCGACAATCTGTTCATCTCTTTCTCTTTCTCTCCCCATTCTTCTCTTGTCCAACAATTCAGCTTTCCTTTCTTTCCTTACTCCCTTTCCTTATCTCTCTCTCTCTCTCTCTCTGTTCTATTTCCTTACTTCATTCACGATCTACTACTTGTTCAGACAAACAATCAGCTTGTTCTACTTGACTCATTTTCTTTGGTCTCTTTGTCACTCACGCTGGTTGTGTCTGACTGGAACAAATTTCATATCCATACTGTTCCTTTTTTTTTTCTCAATGTCCCTCTCAGCTTGATCTCCCATTTCCAGTTTCAGCCATACACGATTCAATACTATCGACAACGACCAACATCACGACTCGAATATCCACATCACGACTTCAAACCGATATTACGAAACAACATCCAACAACCCATTGCTTCTTCACATCCCGCCAAGATGCCTTGGGCTCGACTCCCCACACCCCTCCGCCTCCTCCTCCTCACGGCGCTCTGCACATCTACAACATCCGCCCTCCCCGCCAGCCGCATCTTTGCCCGCGAGGACACATGCGGCGCCGATAGAGTCTCCTGCAACAGCGACCTGACCGACCTCTTCTGCTGCCCCAAGGACTACTCATGTATACTCCTCGCCGGTGACACCTCGGCAATGTGCTGCCCGGCGGGCAGGAACTGCAACGAGGTCCGGCCTATTACGTGTGATCTCCGCGGTCAGGATATCACAAAGTATCCCAAGGCTCCTGTCATGACCATCATTACCAACCTTGAGCTTGAAAAGTGTGGAAGCATGTGCTGTCCCTTTGGTTACTCATGTGAGGGTGACAGCAAGTGTGTTCTCGACAAGGACCAATCCAGCGTTCCAGAGGGTGCAGAGTACCCCAGCGGAAGCTCCTCAGCAGCTCCTAGCGCAACATCGCCCACATCTAGTGAGACGGCCTCTGCCAGCGCTGAACCCACCTCCACCTCTGAGCCCTCCAAGGCCAGCGACGAGAACCAGAAGGAGGACCCAGAGGAGGAGAAGAAGGATTCAGGCCCCGCTACAACATCCATCGTCGGTGGTGTTGTTGGTGGCTGCATCATCCTCCTCATCATCGCCGTCGTCGTCTTCCTCTACTTCCGCCGGCAGAAGAAGCGTGAGGGCGGCCACGGCGAGAAGGGCGGTCACTTCTACGGCGGCGGCGGTAGCACCTCGAGCAGCGAGGCCTCGTTTGGCAACTTCATCTCGGAGCCTATCGTCCAGCCAAACTCGTACCGCGCCGACTTTATCCTCAAGACGCCCTCCCAGAACTCGCAGGTCTCCGGCAGCAGTTCCAGCGTCCCTCAGAGCCAATTCTCAGGAGCCCAGAGCCAATTCTCGGGCGCCAGCTCTAGTGTTCCTCAGAGGCAGTTCTCCTATTCTTCCACGCCTACACGAGTACCTCAAGGTCCTCCTCGCATCCGCATCTCCATCCCCAACCCCTTTGACTCCCCCAACCCTTCACCCAACCACAAGTCTGCCCAGATGAGCCCCATCGACGACACGCCCGTCCGCCACGGCACTGTCCGTCTACCGCCCATCCGCGCCATGAAGGCCTCGTCACAAATCAGCCGCCGCCCTGACAGCCCAGACCTCCAGCGCGAGCCCAGCTGCGAGAGCATCAACGTCTTTGCCGACCCCAGCGACGTTGTCAAGCCTCGCCGCCTGACACACGCCACAACTTTCACAGACCTGATGGACGAGGCCGACCTCCGAGGCGTTGGCCGAGGGAAGGCTTACGCACCTGGGACAAAGCCTCACGTACCGGGGACAACACCAAGAATCTAGACTGTCTTTTTCAAAGTGTTTTCTTTTTTGTTGTAAACATGCTACAAGCCCCCATCACTTTAATCTGACCTCCCCCCCAAATTTCAACCCATCCTGCAGCGCACGATGGGATGCCCTCGTTATGTACATACATGATCAAACACCTCTTTAAACCTTTTTACGCATCTCACCGCATTAGAAACCGGGCTTCTCTAAAAGTAGGCCCTGGCGTTGCGGAAAGCATGGGAGGGAGTCTGTCGTTTATACCCTGAAAGATTTTACCGGGACATTGTCTGCCATGTGTTTTAGCAACTGTTCATTTTTTTTGTACTCTTGTTTGTTGGAAAAGGGATATAGACACGTTCTGAATGATAAGCAAAACACATTTCTGTTACTTCTTACTCTTGTCAAGTGAATCAACTCATACATCTTTTCCGAAACTACAATTTCGAGATACTAGCATGACATTAGACACAAGAGTTATATGTTGCTCTAGATGGTGAAGAATCATCCATCTCAGGATATCCCCACCCCTTCAGACTCAAACATCAAAAATCCAGCTCCTTCACTATCGTCTTTTGGCCGTTGTATACTCCGACGCTCCCAAAAAAAATCAGTCCTAAGTGACACAAAGACAAGTCCATGCTAATGCCGACCCTCCCATCCATACATGAAAACATAGAAATAACGAGTGATAAAACAATCAAAGCCAGCGGGGCCTTGCGTACAGATAGGAAAATAACTAACAGTACAAAAATGTCAATGTAGCGATTGGGGGTATGTAGGTTGCGAGTGATCAGCTGTCCCAAATGAAAAAGTCTTTTCTCATGATGCCATCCCATCACATGGCTATTACCTCCTCTCTCTCTTCGTCTTTTAGATGGTGTCAATCTTGCTGTATGCGTTCTTACATGACGACGCATTTCTTCTCCTTCTCCTTGTCTTTGTCCACGGACCCGGTCGAGATGTCTGTCCATCCGGCGCTGCTGGCGGCGTCCGTGGCCTTCTTCTTCTTCTTTTTGCCCTTGCCAGTCCAGCCGCGCTTCTTGGCATCCTTAATGTTCTTAGCGGCGCTGCGCTCAGCACGGCTGGGTCGGCGGTTCACTGTTGGGGATGTCCTTGTGACGGGCACAGGGGGAGCATTCAGCCAAGCAGGTGCAGGCTGATGGGCAGGAAGTCCTGTGGGTACATGGTTACCTCCCTGCGACGAGGCGATACTATATATCGTCTCTAGACGCTCCACCGTCGGCCGTTGACCGGACCCGGGAACGGGTCGAGGGTGACGAGGAACCGGTGCAAGCAAAGGGGTCTCGCTTCGGCGGCCAGACGTCTGACGGGTTGGTGGGTCAAAGGCACCAGTCACACCTCTGGGGGTGCTGATAATGAGTGGTTGATCGAATTCGGGCTGTGTAAGGCTGGAAGGTCCTACTGATAGCGAACTGGGAAACGAATGTGACAGGTAATCACCATCCAGGCTTCCCACAGGCCTCCGTTGCACATGGTGGCCTCCTGAAAGACGTCTTGGGTTGCCTTGGCTGACCCTGTGATTTAGGCTTGCAAGCTGGCTAGAGCTGGGCAGAGGTGGCAATGCCGAAAGAGAGTCTTCCGTGGGCTGAGGTCTGGACCCTGGGAAAGGGAATCCATCAACTTGGTCAGCGGGTCGGCCGGCCTCGGGCCCGGGACCACCAGGCCAAGTTTGAGCGTTTGACAACCGCCTCACTCTAGACGCCGTACCCTGACCTGGCTGGGTCGTATGTTCGGTCGCTGGCGAAACATCCACATTCACTCTTGGGACCGGAGCCTGAGGTTGGGAGGGGGGTGGCAAACCCACAGCAGGATCGGCGGGAGCTGTCACGGCTCTGAAATCCACGGATGGGGCAATCGAAGACACGGAAGGGATTCGCGAGTCGGGCTCAGAGGTTGCCGTCTCTGGTTGGCGGGCAGCTTGTCGAGGCGAACCAGGTGGAGTAGCATCATAGAGATCGTCCTCCATCTCCTGTTGGGCCGAGGGGCTCGATCTTGGCCGATACGTAGAATCGACTCGCGGTCTACTCATAGTAGTCGAGTCACTCGCTGTTCTCTGAAATGGCGGTCGTTGAGGCGAAGCAGCAGGGTGATGGTGTCCGTCCTTGGAATCAAGAGAGCCCACACCTCCGTTGTTCTGTCCGAAAGAATGCATCCCAGCCGCATGCAAGTTTGGCATAGGGGGGATAGGAGGGATAGGGGCAGGTAGAGGAGCAACTGAGGGCCCACGCAGAAAAGCTGGCAAGTCTCCTGGGTCCTCCTTTTGGTATGGGGGTGGAGGAGGAACCCAGTTGTCAGCATCACTCTCATGCGGATGCTCTCGTCGACCGTCTGCACGGCGATACTCAATGGGGCGACCGTCTGCAGTCCGAGGATGAAGAGTTCGGTCCACAGCAGCAGCCGTCGCTGCACGACGCAGAGTGGTTTGAGAGCGAGGGCTTGCATGTGCATAGGGGGCGTCCAGTGCCTCCATCTCATCGATCGATAGACCATCTCCGTCATCGTCATCGTTGTCAGGTTCAGTCGTTCGAATGGCTGGGTTTTGGTTGGGACGTTGACCAATCCTCCGGGGGATCAAGGGGTCGTCATCATCTTGATTGTCGCGACTGTTTGTGCGCTCAGGTCTTGGTAGAGGAGGAACTGCGTGAGTTCGTGCGGCAGATGTAGCAGATCGGAGTAGATTAGAGCCCCCGCCACGGCCTCCTCGTCTTTGAGCCACAGTTCTTCGTCGGACAATGGCCACCTCTGTTGCAAGGTCACGTTGCTCCTCCTCCAAGACTTCGGGGTGGTCGGTGCCAACTTCGATGGTGATCTCGTTCTTGGTTCCGTCACGGATGCCATAATCAAAGTCGATGAGAGTAACTCTGCCGCCATCGACAAAGTCCATATCTTCCTCCTCGGTAACCAACCTCGGTGCGCCAACTCCTCGAGCTGTCACGACCAAGCGTTCCTGTGATGACGAGCTGCCAAACCCTGAAACCCATTTCACCATCTTCACTTCAGGCAACTCAGCTACCTTAGCGCCCGAAACGAACGTGTTCCTAAGCTTGTCGCAGAGAAGCTGCCACTGAGGTACTCTACCGCCCTCGGTTTCCTGTGCTCGCGTTGAAGGTCGTCGTGAGTTGCTGCTGTTTTGTCTGCCGAGGTTGGATGGCGATGATCCGTCATTCGATGATGATGCGCTGTCTGGAACGGCATCCAAGTCTTCAGGGACACCATAGATCCATACGTCCTTCCCTTGAAACCCAGCCGACACCAGTTCGCCCCGATATGTCGCAGAAGGAAGGGTAGAAGGGAGGAGCTTAGCCTGTGACGATGTACTTGGTACTGGTCCCGTGAAGTAGGTTGTGCCGTTCCTCAGGTCATCGATTCGAACAGCTCGGAATGTCTCAAAACTTCGGTCATACGTAAACGTCCAGCTTGCCTCTTCCTCGTTACCATCCTGGAGCAGAACTGCATGGCTGCAGTCTCTGCTGGTGTTGGGAAACAAAATCGACGTAGTCCAGAGTGGGCTCAAGTTGTCTTCGGACATGTGAGGACCTGGGTCGTAATATGGCGCCGTGATAATGACGGTGCTTGGCGGAGAGGAATGAATAGTAGTTCCAAGGATTTGAGTGCCATCATAGGAGAATGTCAGAGCATCGACGGCGTCGCACTTAACAGCTCGTCGATCAGTTGCAAGAGCATCAGCCCGTAGAGAGGACACTTCAATCCCGCCTTCATAAGCTGCGGCGACGACAGATCCACAGGGTGAGAGAGCAATGGCTCGAGGAGTGTTGTCAAGAATCATAGACTGTGTTCGACGCGGTGGGGTCTTTTCCATGTCGTAGAGATCAACCTGCATCTCGGTGGATAGCACCGCGAGGAGTGTACCTTTGTCGTTGATGCAGGCCGAGACAGGGCGGCGGAGAATCTTGAGTTCCCGCTTGATTTCAAGACTCGAGCCTCGTACATCCAACACATAAATCCTACCGGAATTGTACGCTAGAATGTGATGGCCCTTTGGGGAGGCACTATACTGCATACCCTCACCTCCAGGACATGACGAAGAGCTGATAGATGTTGAAATGAGTTTCACGGTGGTGATGTTTGGGCGCAGGAAAGCCTGAAAGAGATTCCGCTTGACTTCTTGGGCGAAGAGTCGGCGCAGTTGAGGGAGGTTATCGTCGTCCGAGGACGGGAAAGTCGAGTGGCTTGCGGAATACGAAGGACATTGTGACAGCTGCAAAAGATAGAGATGTGCTCGTTGGGAGACGGCTCTCCATTTACGGTTAAGGAGAACCAGAGACGCGAAGCTGCTAGGGTCGGCGAGTCGTAGGATCCTGAGGGAGAGTAGAGCGTTAGCATTTGGCGATAGGAAATCTTGGGCAGCCATCTCTCGACTGTTGTTTGCCCTGTCATCACTCCCCAAGACCCGCGCGATGCGGTAGGCGTTTCGACGCAACAGGGCGACAAGGACTCATTCGGACTCACTGTTCAATAATCTCATCCGGCAAGCTATCAAAAGGCGGAGGAGGGGGGAGAGGCATCTTTTCGATGCTGGAGCGACGAACGTCAGCGTCGACGGTCGGCGCGTCCATGACGCTCTGGCGCTCTACGGCGGAAGGCCAGTGATCATAGCAAGGGCGAAGACGAGAGGGGGGAAACGAGTCGTCGTAGTCGCAGCCGAGGGTCTTGCTTTGTTGTCGTTGGTGCGTGCGTGAGTGTTGGAGAGGAATGGGTGAATAAATTGGATGGTGAGCGTTGGTTGGTTCCGTCGTGTCGAGTAGCAGTAGTAGTAGCAGTAGTAGTAGTAGCAGTAGCAGTAGCTGAGGTGCGCTGCGCTCGCCTGTGGCTGACGCTTTGTGAGGCGAGGCGTGACGGCGGCGGGTCGACCTGGTGGAAAAGGAAGGTACAGGTATGGACGGGAGCGGTCCGAGGGGGAGGGGACTCGGGCGGTCAAGGTGTAAGCACTACAGACAGGAACAGACCTGAAAAGTGGCTCAGCAATTTTCAAGCTGTAAAGAAGAGAAGATGAAAAAACAAAGGGGATGCATGTGGTGTTGTTATTTTGCAAAGCATGAATATCAAACATGAGAATGAACAAATGGCGGCTCGTTATCCGTCCGTTGAGATCGGCGACAAGCCCAAAACTCGACTAGCAGATGCGCCGGTTGTCCAATGGCCTCGGGCTCAAGCTCCCGCTCCAAGGACCTTGAACTTGCAGATGCCGTCCGTCGCAATGATAATGCCAAATGCCGTCGCGCACGGAGCGTGATGTATACGGGCTACTTACTAGGTTGTCTTGCCTTGTCTTGCTGGGCAGACCACCTACGTATCTCCTCCGTCAAGCTTCTTTTGGCCCTGAATCAACCCCAAGACCTTGCAGCCTTGATTGGATGCTGGTCAGTTCGGCGGGGACAAGTTCACGTTGCCCTCTCCACTTGGTGCTCGTGCCACCAGGGGTTGACTCTTGTGCTTCGACCAGTATTTTGAGAAGAGAGCAACGATGCTATAATGGTGCCGTCGCAGACATGTTTACGGCGGTGGTAGATGCACCAGTCGCAGCATGGATCCTTTCCATCCTGCTGTAAACCATCCGACAGAGGCGCAGTGTCAAAACTGCACATCCACTGGATCCCATCCACAATCATATGCAGCTGAACGGCTCAGCCAGGGGGACGTCTTATGGCGCGAATAGTGAAACCCCAGTATGTCTCTGCCGCCCAACGTGACGCACCAGACGATCCAAGAGATGGCCCGAGACAGGAGAGAAACAGCCCGTCCCTTAATTCACGGACAGGCAGAAGAAAGAACAGAAAGTCCTCGCCGGAATGATGTAAGCGACAGGGGGTCTTGGTGGTTGGTGGAATTCTCCCGCTGCCTTGTCGTTGGCCTTCCCGTCGAGGTGCCATTCTGCGATGCCCGCATGTCTCGCCAAGACCCCAGAGGCCAAGCCACGGGGGAGGCGCCAGCCATTGAGGGATGCATTCATTCATGCTCTCATTCTCTTCCATGAGTTCCCCCTCCTCTCCCTGCATCGGACCCAACAAGCGAGTTGACTGTGGTATTTCTGAGGGTGTCCTGCAGAGAGCCGAAAACAAAAACAACAAACTACTTATTCAGGCCGATTTGCCGCTCACTGGTCGGTGCAACCCTGGCTTGTCAAAAGTTGGTTGCTTTGTTGGTTCATCTCGTTCGTTGTCTCTACTCACGCTCCCTAGACGAGATCTGCCTCCAGTCCCAATAAAAGCCATGGATCCATCCTCTAGATCTATTCTTAGAAACCCGCTTACTCACAGTGGCACCCTGCAATCGTGCACATCCGTGTGTCATTCTGATAAGAGTGCATTCCGATGCCAAGAATCACATTTCAGAGAATCACAGAGTTGCTCTTGATATCACAATCACTCTCATCACACAGGGCTGAGGCATGTCACAAGAAAGCATACCACAGAAGAATGCGGCTTGTTCCCCCTGACTAGGGAAATGTTGCTCAACGTGTGGTATGTGACAGGCGTGAACCCCGCTCGACTAATAAGCGACCTAGACGAGGAAACTCGTGTGAACTGTCATGTTGAAGAAAAGGGGAGCCGATGCAGAATGACCACATTTGACCTCGGCATCAGAAGATGTTATTATTTCGTCGATTGGGTATATGGGATAAAAATACCCGAATTACATAAGACTCAAAGTTCTTTCATGTTTATTCTTAAGTAGGTTCTTTTTACAGTTCTCAATGGTTATTCGTATCTCGTATTAATTAGATCACCATCAACCTCCCGATGTGGATGCTTTTCTCGAACCACGTGGCAGTGAACTTGATCTTATGGAAGATAGTAGCTAGGCAGCTGTAGTCATGGTACTATGACAGCTTCTTCTAACCGTTCTGCAAGTAGGAAAATATTCGTGGCCATGTAAATCTGAGCCCGGTCGCGAATGTGGCACAACGCAGGGAAGATTCCAAACGCTTACACTATTTCATCCCTTTTCTAAGAAGCCCTTGACAGCAGGAGTAAGCTGAACCAATTTCCTCATAGACACTAGCCAATGAATGTGAGATATAGTACTCGGGAGGAATGAGGCAGGGCTTTCTTCTTGCCCCAGCCTCTCTTCGAATCCTTCATGAGGCGCAGCCTGAAGGCTCTCACTGCAGTCATACTGGCTGTGCTATGTTCAGTAACTCAATACTTGTCCCTCGGGGAAGTCATCACTTCGTTCATACCCGATTCTTCTGAATTGCTTCCCTGTGACAACATAGCGAATGTCTGGGCTGCCTCAGGAGAGCCACCCTGTCGCTTATGCCGTGATGCTAAAAGAGTGAGAAGGGGTCAGCATTTGAGACTGGCCAAGAACGATCGCAAATAACGGAAAAGACACAGGAAAGCAACCAGGCCTAGCCTACCAGTCTAAAGTTGCTGGTAGGGAGCATCATGTTGAGTACTCGTTGAGATGGCTGGACATAATAATCGGTCAGTCAACTCGCAGAAGTGACAGTCCATTGCAGACATTGCAGCACACCTGGTCCCCATTTGCGGTTCTTATATGCACCAGCTCGTCTACAATAGACACATGGGTATTCAGAACGAATTGAGTTCGTCCGGTTGCCAAGACATTTGCACGATCCACATTAGACAACACGAGTGCGCCAACCTCCGAGGAGACGCTTGGTTGACATTGGTAAATGACCTGTAGTATGCAGCAAGTATTGCTTTTCTACATGTCATCGTACTCTTAACCACCAAGGGCACAATATATGCTACTCACGATAACGTCACTCAACACTCCTCTTCCCTCAGCCTCCAACTCGTGTCTATTCACCCTACACTTGTATCCCGAGCAACTTGACTAGACAGGACCCGTATAAGCCGTTACACCTCGTACAATGACCGCATGTCGAAAACGGTCTCGTACGAGAAGCTCGAGAGCCTGATCTGAACGATAGTACATCGAGGGGCTGATCGGGCAGCACAGCCCTTTTTCCTGTGGCACCTGAGAGATATTACATGTAGGGGGTAGTTTTTGAACGTTGAGCGTGGCTGGCTGAGCATTTGCCGAGACACTGTGGGACTCGAATTTTCTTTTTCTCTCCTCCCCCATCGCAAACAAGGCTCCCTGTATCGGGATACGTTGGTTGTACATGGTCTCCTGCCCAGCCGGGCGTCCAATCCGATCCAGCTAAGATGATTCTCTATTGAAGATCGCTGAAGCCATTGTGGGCCTGCGTCATGCATACTTCTCCTCGCGTTTCTCTGCCGAAGATGCAAGTAAGCAGAGATGGTGTGCCTTGTCATGTTGCTCGCAGTGTTTGCCCGTCTGGCTTTGCTTCACCGACATCTTTTTCCAAGTAGGCACATGCGTCTATACCCAATCAACTCATTGACCAAAAAAAACACACATCGATCTTCACTAAACCCACGCCGTTTTAAAATAATGCTCGGCCCGCCCAATTAGCTGTGGACCCGATGAGACAGGACTAAAGACATGCACTTCGTGGACCTTGGCGTGGGTTATAAACGCAGGAGATATCTTGGTCATGATTCACGGTTCTCATCTCTACCAACTGGAGGATGTGGAACTGATTCACAACTTGGATTCGTCGGCTGGCAAGTGTAATGCCCGAATCGAGTCAAATTGCCCGATGACATTTCGAGGGAGCATGGTTGATCACAAGTGGACGCTACCCGAAACAACTGTCAGTTCAACATCTCCGGAGTTGACTGCTCACTTAGGCAATTATGAAGTGCTTATGATCCTTCAAGTTAATAAACATACCCTCAAAACATGTAACCCAAGTGACATTCTAAGTCTAGGATAGGGAAGTAGTTGACATTAAAGTTGATCTACTGATAGCCGTAAAAGGGTCGATCCTCTCTTGTCGATCATGCCAATTTGGGAGCCACTTGTCTACATGAAGGTTGAGAAGTCAGATATGGTTTCTTGCCAGCGGCATCTTTCCGCAATTGTATGTATATGGGCCGGAATCAGCCCTTTACCAAGAGTTGCAGGCGTAAAACGTGGCAACCCCAGGGTGGCTTATGGAGTCTCGAGAGGCCACTCGAAGAATAAACTCAACTTTACATCCTCAGTTGTACTACCGTCTGTTCATGACTCGAGTAATTCAGCCAGCAGAGCTGACCTCTAATGAACATCAAGAGATGTCATCAACTAATGCCTCCAAAACCATGCCAAGAAGAGTGTACTCTCAAGCTAGTCTAGTATAATGACATGCAAAGTTGTCTCTTCTCTCAGCTGTTTAGTTGAACCAGGATTTGCGATCGGATGGGATGCGCCAGCGATCAAATCAACCACGGCATTTCCCCGCGGATCCGCGGCACCATCTGCCGTGAAGCCTGAGGCATCCCTGCAAAATCGTCAGGTTTCAGTGCTAGACAAATGTACTTTGTTGGTTCTCCTTCCGCTGGAGGCTTCTCTCGTCTCCGTCCCGTCCCCCCCCTTACTACTCTGAACTCTGGGCGGCAGAGAAACGCAATGAGAGCCTGCAAGGATGACAACTCCCTCCTACAGGCTTCTGCCTCTACAACCTCACTTGCAAGCCCTGCAGCAGGATGCCACTACTGAAGTTCTCACTCTGTTCCCT